AAAACAAAACTTCAACATCGCACTTCAATTTACATAGGAGAGTTAAACAAAACTTTAACATCACTTCCTTTTTCCCATTTTCCACTGAAACTGTTTTTCACCTGGCCCGGTTGTACGAAGGGTTGGTAGAGGTATACGACGAGTAAATCCTTTTCCAGTGGATAACTGGATAGGATTTATCCGTCGGAAAGCGCTATCCACATTTTGTACAACCGGGTCCTGAGCTAAAATACGTATTTCAATTGTAATCTTCTTACGAAACGCGATTATTACCTAAGCATGGGTTTGCTCCACATACTCTTGACTCCGAAGAGTCTCCCGAACAATCTGCACCGCCATTGGCAGGTGCAGGATTTGTACACGTGCGTGTTCGTGATTGCCTGCCTCCATCACACGTGACTGAACATCTTATCCATGCACTCCACAGAGACCATCSACCATGGCGTACTGTACAAGACGAGTAATGATATAAAAACCGATTCTAATCATTAATTGCTTTCACAATTAAATTGTTAATATTCAATGTATTCTTTCTTACTCACTACCTATATTGGTGGCACATCTCTGTGTCTCGCTTCTTGATCCTGTGCAGTCTCGTCCACCATTGGCTGGTGCAGGGTTTGTACACGTGCGTGTTCGTGATTGGCTGCCTCCACCAAACTTGACAGAACATCTTGTCCATTCACTCCAAGAAGACCATCCACCATGTACAATCCCAACTGAAGAGAGAACTGATCAATTTGACTTTGAATGGCGTATGAATTTTTTCAACCATGGATACGTACCGTTGCAGGCCTGTGTTTGCCACCTATCCCAGCAATCCAAGTTGCTCCAGTCAATACAATCTCGAAATCTGTAGCGAAACCTGCCATTGCACTTGCTCCATGGTGCCCATTCTTTATAAAGATCTAGTATGGAATAATACCATAAAAGGGAAGCAGGTTTTTTACATAGTCAAGTACTAAATTAATAAATTAGAAATAGCTAGGCAAAATCTGGCTAAACCTGAGAAAACAGTGTTGGCTTAGCGAGATTTCCAGAGGTAGTAGTTGAGGACGAGACGATTTTTATTGATACTTTTAAAGGTCTACTGTCTGGTACATTTATGGTGCTTACACGTGCGTGTTTACGAGTAGCTACCCCCAAGCCACATATGAAAGAACACGATGTCTATGAGTTCCAAGAAGACACCGAACGTGTACACTTCCTTCTGAAGAACGAATCTAAATATATCTTGAAATCTTGAAACTTCAATTCTATGGACAAAGGACGTAGTCATAAAGCGGTTTTCATGAGCAAGAAACAAAAGGTACGTACTGACTTACAGCACGTACACGTTACGACATGTCGTAACATTGGAATGGCTTCTCAATGTTTTCATGCGGATCTTCCAATCACAACGCGTAGTTACTTTTACGGTAAAACTAGGTGCAGCTACTTTACCACTAGAGTACGGCTACACTGTAGCTATGGCACGGCATACTAAATACGAACATTGATCTAACTAGTACTACTCAGTTAAGTACCGTGGCACATCTGTGTTTGCCACCTATCCCAGCAATCCCAGTTGCTCCAATCGACACAGCCTCGAGATCTGTGTCGAAATCTGTTTCCGTTTCCATTGGCGTCACTGCACTTGGTCCATGGCTCCCATTCAGTATAAAGATCTATACAATAATATAATAAACGGCAACATCTTCATACATAACTCTAGCCAAGGTATTACACTTTTAATATAGTGAAGGCAACCGATATATTCAGAGCTATACTAGGAGTGTTGGGTCTTTGCTTGTTTGGGTTCATCTTAGTATAGTAGTGTTTAGTCATACATGGGTTTGCTTTTAAAAGTAAAAGGAACAAAATTGAGATTTTTATTCTTTTATTCCTAATATATATATATACACATATATATATATATATATATATATACTTTTTTTTTACCTTTGCTGAGAACTGGATAATGATAGCTTAACACAGCTACTAAAGCGAGAAGGCTGGAAAATATCTTTCTCATGATGAAAAATGCTGGAAATAAACAAATTACATTTCAGAATTTTTAGATATTTGAAGGGATCGACAAATACTCAATGATACTTTTCAATGGGCGCAATTGCAGTAGTTGCAATTATTGGACGTTTTCAATAATTATTTCCAGAAAAAAGAAAAGCATGCAGGACTGTAATGTTAGTTGAATATAGCAAAAGAAAATATAAGAACTCCTCATTGCCCAATTGATCGGCATCAACATGGCGGCTATAAAAAACGGCTATACCTTCAAAATTTGATTTCCTTAGCTTCACTTCCTATATTGTAGTTGCGCTCCAGTCGATGTCTGCTTGAGTTTTCAAGTGGAACTCGAATTTGGTTATATTCTGATCTATTCTTATGAGTTTCATCACTTGTTTACGTACATTGAGATATTCCTGGACAATACATTGGTCTAAATATTGATACTTGCCAAAAATAATGCAACTTTTTAAAAACACTAGACCCTTCGTTTTTGTAAGGAAGGTTAATCTTACGTTCAGGTAAACGGGACTATTGGTATTTATAAACCTATAAAAATTCTATATAATCTACGAGTGATAGGAATAGATAATGTATATGGTGGATGTACCCTCCAGTTGTTTTCCGTCTGGTTGAGTCTTGAATTGTGACTCGAAATTATCCATATTCTGATCTATTCTTATGAGTTAACCATCACTTTTTTACACACAACAAGATATCCCTGGACGATATATTGGTGTAACTGATGATGACTGCCAAAAATAGTTTCACATTCTTCCGCTTTTAAGGTGCAACTATTTGGAAAACATTAGTCCATTGTTTTTTATTGTTCACAGGAAGTAAGCATCATTTGACTTAAGGCAACCTACAACTTTAAAGACGCATCATATTTAGTACCCAGAATCTCAACATACAAAACTTTGTTACATGATGGTGAGGCAAACTAGGGACAGATGTTTCTGAAGAAAAGAAAACAGCTAAATTTATTTATATAAGTTACATCACTTGTTTACATACAATGAGATATCGGGCTCTGACCGATATATTGGTCTTTTGACTGAAGTAACTACCGATGATGGAGTTGCCAGAAATATAGTCCTATTTCCATTTCCTTTGAGATGCAGCTTTTTTTAAAAACTGCGTCATTTGTTTTTCATTCGTTTACAGGACGTTCATTGCATCACATCATTTGACTTACAGCGGCCTTCGTTCAGAGTCCAAAAACGGCTTTGTATAGTACCGGAGTGTCAAGAATGTCCTCTTACATGCATGTGCGAGCAAAAATAGGGAATTTTTTTTTTTTTTTTTTTTCATATCAAAGGGACATCTAAAAGAAGTATCACATTTAGTGGTATTCCTGGATCATCCTTGTAAACCGGGCCCTAACCTGCTGGATTATATGAAACTATAAAGTGTAGTATAAATTTTACAATGACAGAAATGACAGAAATAGTCAAGATAAAAGGAAAACGAATTATATTAATGGTAAATGGGAATGGGAAGCACGGGTGGCGTAGCGGCGAGAGCGCTTGCCTCTCACCAATGCAACCAGGGTTCGAGTCCCGCTGAGCAATTGGGATTACAGTGGATGAATAGCTACTCTCTAGAAATGACACTGTTAAATCCCATTTATTTATTATTTTTATTTTCTTATTAAATAAAGTTTGAGCATTGAAAATGCTGATGATAGCTCTTTTATCATTATTAGGGCGCTTTTGTAGTGTGGAATTAATGGACAGGAAGCTAGTGCAGAAATTTTCAAACCAAAAAAATAGCAGATATCGGTGTTACACTCTATTGCCTTCAAACCATTGTTACATTTGGGTCAGTTTCCATACATTTCATTGTATTGACCCAAATGCCTCGACTTGAATCAATCGTTTGAAGGCAACAGTGTGTATCTCCGATATCTGCTATTTTCATCTCGCTCTAAGAAGTCAAAAATTCTCCAAGAAATAGACACGCACAATTCTGGGCTTTAGAGCTTCTTGTTTATTACATTATTTCATCCTTGCCTTGTTTTGTACTACAGTTTTATAGTATTTCTATCTTCATATTCTTCAATCCAACCTGAGTCATGATATCATGCAACAATAATATCAATATATTTTTCAACTTGAATACTTTTGATTTTAAGATGTGAATCTTGCATATTTTTTTTACAATCTTTTAAGTTTAGTAAATTAGTTTAGTATCCTTTACCTATCGACATTATGTGAAAAGTTAAAAAATCTAACGGTTTCCCTCATTCCGAATTTGATTACACCACAATTTAAAAATGCAAGCAGTCTCCGACCTTGTCTCTAGGAATAGGCAGGTTTAACATTAGCTCCTCCTTGCTGGTTTGGTTGTTTTGTAGGGCTTACATTGGCTCCTCCTTGCTGATATGGTTTAGCAGCCTGTTTGGCTTTGGCCGCAGCCTCTGCCTTTGCTCTTGCTATCGCCATTGCTTTTGCTTTTGCTTTCGCTCTCTGTAATGCCTGCGCCTTTGCTTTAGCCACAGCCTTTGCCCTAGCTGCCTTCAATGCTTTAATCCTCGCAAGTGCTCTGGCCTTCGCCTTTGCTTTTGCCTTCGCTATTGCTTTAGCTCTTGCTTGAGCTCTTGCCTTTGCCCTTGCTTTGGCCTTCGCTAATGCTCTTGCCCTTGCCTCTGCTCTTGCTTTAGCTCTTGCTTTGGCTTTTGCCCTTGCCCTTGCTCTAGCCAATGCCCGTGCTCTTGCCCTTTCTTTCCTTCTTGCTTTTGCTCTCGCTCTCGCTCTCGCTCTTGCTTTTTTCCAGGCCAAAGCACGAGCCCTTGCTAGTTTCCTAGCCCTGGCTCTAGCTGCTGCTGACACCTTTGACTTCATTGCGATAACAATCCGGTGGTTGAATCCAAGTTTTCGATCACGTCGAGATTTTACTCCAAGCTTTCTTTGTCTTACAATTTTCGGCCTGAATTTCTTTTGTTTTTTCCTTGCCCTCGCTGCTTCTTTGATATTCACGTGGAAGAGTTTCAGAGCACGTGTGCTGATTGCTTTGAAGTCTGGACGTGGAATGTTTTGAAGCTTCAGAGGGCTGAAGTCTATTTACGTATAAAAAAAAGTAGAAAGAAAATGTGGTAAGTTTTGCAATATTTCAAAGAAGAGCCAAGCAGCAAAATGAAGCATGGGGCAACTCAAATACGCCTGGGGTTTAACTCTGCAATCACCAAAGATTGCCGAAATCACTGAGGCCCCGTCCACACTATGCCGGATAAATTTGAAGCCGCAACTTTCACACCGAAACCGAAAAAAAGTTTTCCGTCCACACATTTAAAAGGATAAAATGTTTCGCGTCCACACTAGTCCGATAAGAGGCGGCAAAAACGCTTCATTGCACATCTGAGCATATGTGCATCGAAGCTGAAATTGAGCCTGCGGTGAATTTTTAGCCTTCCCGCCATGTTCCCATGACAATCCGTCCACACTAATACGGCTAGCCGGCGTTTWCAAATTGTTCCACTCTGGAGGCCGTATTCGAAAAAAATCGTTTTCGGTGAAGAATTGTTCCGGATTCGCCTGGACTAGTGTGGACGGTAGGCCTAACCGAATAAATAAAAATTCGGATTCAAATTTATCCGGCATAGTGTGGACGGGGACTGAAATTGTTTTTCGATCTCAAAATACTTTTACGTCATGTCATTCTCTTGACTATCATTTTCTAATTTTCCAATCAGATATTAATTTGACTCGAAAAAGACCTTATTGCCAAGGGACATAACTAGTGGTTTAAGACAGGGAAACATTACCCCAAACGACACAATAGCAAAAAAGGTTTTGCGCATGCGTGCCTTTCAACACGTTTTCTAACAATACGAGTTTTACAAAATACAAAACACTTCACGAGTATACTTTTGTGAGACTACGAAACTGTTCTAATAATACAATATGAAAGATTAGCTTTAAATTTCAAGCAAGGACTTTTAGTTTTGGCATTTTGTGAAGTCTTATTTCCAGGCATGTTTGAAAATCAAATTTGCCTATGTTTACAATAGCATGAATGACTTTCGACTAATGCGCAGACATTTTTCACTCGTGTCGCCCCCGTTGAATGGCGAAAACTATCATGATCGAGATGTTAACGTTTCCGAAACTTACTTCTAATTTCCTTGACGAAGTTGGCAGTTTCAGTGTCATTGACATCCAAATAATCGACTCTTACATCGCCTGGCAAATTATTCAAGTCCAACACATCTTTAGGCATTACTCCACCAGTACCAGGAAGAGGAGCTTCAAGATCATGGAAATAGACCTCTTTGTGGTATTCACTCTTGTTCTGCCAATCTGCCCAGATCTTCAAAATAATAATCAAAAAATTGAAATAAGCTTCAGCATTTTGTTAACAGTGGTCGAAATAAGAAAATAAGGACATGGACCTACAATATGATATTAATAGTTTAGGGTGCTGTGAATAATTATCCATTGTTTCAAGTCCTATTCCGATGCATGCTTTTTAACGTTACACTTTGTATAATTTGGTATCCAGCTGTATCTTTATGTCTTTCATCGTGTAATGCACTGCATGGCTAATTATGCATTTATAGACGCTTCGATTTTAGTTGACTAAAGTCCCCTCACGAAACATTTTAATTTCTCTAATAATATTATATTATAACTTATCGATATATTAGTGATGCAACGCATTCCAACCCTTTGCACTTCCTAATTTACCTTATCAATAAAACAGTGATGCAAAAAGAACTCGGGTGCGCTGGACGAATCATACGAACACATCGTTCCACCAATCAAACAGTGAACCGTGTCATGGAAGCTGATTCTTAGGCTGCTTTCAAAATCTGTGAAGTTGTCAGGCTCGATGTCGAGCAGCTCAGCTACAGCAACAGAATCTGGAGGATAGCCATTGAATTCTCTTCGTTGGCAATTTGGGTTTGCCTCAGGAACAAGTTGCCAAACACCTTTAGCAAAGGGTCCTGTATCAACACATTGATCTGAAGATGCGCCGTTCCCGCCAAAACCAGTGCTGCCTGCGCACCAAAGGTCGTCAGGGTCCGTCCCCCATGGATCCCCAGAGACAATACTCCAGTCCCAGTAGGGTAAGGTCACTTTACAGTTTACACTTCGGAGTAAATTCTCAAACTGAAGAAGATACCAACGATGCCATGTAAGGAAGTGAATCTTCTGGTGAATCTCACTCGCGAAGTACTTCATGTGCATAGTGATGAGCTTGTCGTACAAGCTTTTGAACCTGAAACATGTGACATTGGGAGTAGATGTAAGTGCAGCCATAGTATTTGCATTCCTTTGTTTGTTTCTGGTTTGGATCTGTAGTCCCAGGAGTATTGATATAATTTCCTTTGTTCATTCAACATTAGTTTCATTCTTTCCCCTGGGTTTTGCTCAATACAAATTTCTTTTAGTTTTTGAACTTAAGTGATTGAATTTATCATTCATTGAGTTTATCTTTACCCGCTACGCTTCGTGGTTTCCTACGCTCCTCTCGTGTTCTCTCAACATCCCGAGTGTTTTGATCAGAGTATCAAACACGAAAAACTGTGTTTTTGATCTGTTAAACCTAAATCCTGCAAGCAGATTAACGTTAGATTGTTGTGTGTCGCAAACTAAATAGTGAATATAAAAGGAAGGCTCTGGAGTGTGTTTCCCCACTTTCCTGCACACGTTCACCACCAGGCTCCGGCCACAAGCTATACCGTTCCTAACCGCCCCTAGGCTATTCTCCGCATAACTAAGGTTAGCAGCCTGAGGCATAATCGTAAGCGGAATGCCATATAGCTATGAGCTACAATTGGAATCTGCTTCGAAAGAACCGATTGTACAAACCTTGGATGGGTAGATGCCTTTTTTAAGGTACGTATATACAGTCGTCGTTCCTCTGCTGACATAGAGGTAAACTCCTTTCTCAATCGAGTACAGTTTGTCAGGGAACCACTTGAAGAACAATAGCAGAGTTGCCGACAGCGATCGTACACTTTAGTACCTGGTTTGCAGTTCATTTGACCTAATATTTTGCAGACGGAAAGATAATTATTATAAACTAACGAAAATTTTATCTTCATTTTTATTCCATCCTTCTCTTTTCCCTTTCATTTTTGTTGTTCTTCCTTCCTTCCTTCCTTCCTTCCTTCCTT